TCCCCCAGCTCTCCTTGGCCTGAAATGTTCAGCCAGGGTGATCTCAGGGGTCATATTGTTTGCTTATGTCCTGTCAGGAATCACAATCCTGTACTGCCTGCTGTCCAGTGTCTACAAACACTGGTGCCAATTATTTTATTTAGTTTTCTAGCTGTTTGCAGCGGGAAGGTAAATCTGGCTCCTGTTACTCCATCCGAGACAGAGCAGCAGCCTACTGGTGATTTTGAGCAGAGCAGTGACATTGTACAGCTTCCCTTACTTCACCTCATCTTGAATGGGAGGTGCTGGTATTATCCCCATTGCCCCCTAGAGGAGGAAGCCAGCTCTGAGAGGTTGGGCAGTATACCCACAGCCACTCAGTTATTAATGCCAAAGCTCACATGCTCGCCCTTGTGCCAGTGCCTCTCAAAAATTCGTTGTTGAATTGGATCTTACTCTTCAGCAAAGAACTATAGACCAGACCAGCTTAGGATGTGCCCAGAGTTACGCCATCACTTGGCAGGTTTCAGGTGAGCGCGCCTAGACCTTAGACCTGGGTGTCCTTCTGGTTGCTCAGACCTGAGCTGTGTGTGCTGTTCATCTTTGCTGTGCAGCAAGGTCAGCACATGGGCTGACCTGGCTGGGGAAGGTCAGTGCCTGGGCAACAGGAACAAGAGCATTTTTGTCTGTTAAACTGAGAGCCTTTTTCTCTCTGCCACTGGGTCTCTTTTGTGTGTCCATCTGTCTTTAAAGCAGGCTTCTGCCTCTGCTCTTCCCTCCCAGCTCTTGCAGTCTGGCCCTGAAGGATCCTGACTGTGGATCACCTAGAGACTGCTTTTTACACCTTTGCAATAGACTTCAGCTGTGGTTTTTAAACCTTACTATTATTACTGGTTTTAACATCATAGACCACCCTGTCAAGATTTCCAGGATCCAGTTGGAATTTAATTTGTAGGGATCTGTCTCAAGACAGAAAATAGACTTGACCACCCAAAGGGGGTTGATGTAGGGGGCAGGTGTTTGAGAAGTGCTGGGCTTTCATCAAAGAAGTGCTGGGCTTTTATCAGTTGGCTGCCCAAGCCTTTTCCTTATTTGAAGCAGCACGTAGAACTGCCTGTTAAAGCTGGGGTCTGTCCTCCCAGCACAAGGACTCGGAGTGGTCAGGCTCCTCCGAGGGACCTGTTGGTGGTTTAGGTGGGTAGTTCTTCATTGCATACTTTGCAGGATATTTAGCCTCCCAGGTTCCTACCCTCTAAATGGGGACTCCATGGTCATTGTGATAGCCAGAAACACCACACATTTTCAAATGCCCCTGGGGGGTGATTCCGCCCCAGGGTGGAGAACCAACAGGCCACAACATTGCCTTGAGAAGAGGCCAGTTTTGTTTTATGTGGTAGGTGAAGTGTTCCAGGGAAAGACAAGACACTGCTGGTTCCTCTGCTTGCCTCACTGGGGATTATGTATACAGAATGGTTGTTTTGTTTTAACTTTTTAGATTAAAAGAAGCGTAGGCACATATTTATTGAGTACCAATGATATTCTAAGTGCTGAAGACCAGCCTTCAGTAAAATAGAGTGCCTGTCTTCAAGGAGCTTAAAATCTAGTGGGGAGAGATAGATAATGAACTAGTTACCCGGTGAAGAATTTCAGATGGTATTATCAAGGAAATCAGTACGGGGAGTAGTAAGGATGAAGGCTGTTTTGGTCATCAAGAGACACTTTTCTAAAGGACACTGAGACAGGAAATGGGGGATGGACCATTTTAGACGGCAGATACACTAGAGAATTATCTAGAATATAGTTAGTATTGGGCAGTTCCCAGATTGGCGAGAAGCCCTCTGTGTATTCACTGATAAGGTCTGTTTGACCTCAGACAGCACTGTGAGTTGGAATATGGTTTGGGGAAACGCTTGCTCCTCTCTTTAGCCCCGAGATTGAGTTTGGAGGTCTGGCATTGGTGTGCTGGGACCCCAGCAGGCTTGGGGAAGCCAAACCTTGAGGAATTTGGAGAGTGTTGCTGCTTGAAGTGCCTTTGTAAGGACGTGTACACATATATGTGCTTCTTCTGCCCTTTGAATATCATGGAGGAAATACAAGGAACTAGCATCAGTGGTGGGTCACTAAGGAAGAAGGGACTGAGTGTCGGGATGAGAGGAAAGCTTCCTTTAAAAAATTTTAAAAGCAGAATATACTTACATGGTTCATAATTTTAAAAGGTACAGAAAGGTATATGATGAGAGAGACTAGGTACTGTATACTGTTTAAAGTTTCCTTTTGGCAAATATTAGCTATTCAAGAGATAACCTAATTTAAGGGAAGTTCCTTGGTGATCTCTCAGGAAGAAAGTTTTGGGTTAAGTCTGAATGAGGCCTCCTAAATACTAAAGCTGTTTGCGTTAGACTGTTTCATCTAGTCAAAAAACCTACATTATTATTTATGGGGTAGCATTAAGATTGTTGCTTAATAAAATGTGGTCTAAACAAAATGTGATTATTTTGATTAATTAGAAGGTTTAGGTCCCTTTAGTACCAGTTACTAGCTGAGTCATCATGGATGAGTTAGTTAACCTCCCTTGCCTCAGTTTCCTCATCAGCAATAATTTTATAAATTTATTGTGAGAATTAAGTGAAGGAAGAGCTAAGTAAATGTTAGCAACTCAGTATTTACCAAATGGAGTGAAGGAAGCCTTCAGGAAGTAATCAGCTTTGATATTTAGTCCATTTAGCTGAGTTAGAACCATGGTCCTCTTTTTTGCCCATCGTTCATCCTGCAAATGTCTATGGAAGGCTGATCCTGCCCTGGGCGTTAGGGATACAGTGAAAAACAAACACAGCTCTAGAGTTTATAATCTGGTGAGGGACGCAGTCATCCATCTGATAGACACACGTGAAGGTGCAGTTCTGCTCAGTCCTGGAAGGGGAGGTGCAGGCTGTGAGTGTAGAATAGGGAGATTTGAGCCTGTCATGTCTGTCAGAGAGGGAATGTTGCCCTGAGGAAGTGACTTAGCTGAGATCCGGAGGACAAGTTAAGAGGGAAAGGAAGGAATAGCATGTGCAAGGGCCCAGTTGACAGAGGAAGCGGAGGCTAATGTGTCTCTTGTGGGCAGAGCTGGGGAATGCCCACAGACCTGAGATGTAGTCAGAGTAGATAGATGCAAGGCCTTGCAGGCCATGCTGAGAAGTTTTTTCTGTGTATTAGAGTTGTTGTTTCCTGGGGTGGGTGGGTGGATGGGGGGTGAGATGATCAGATTATCATTTAGAAATGATTGTTTGCGGTGTGGAGAATAAATTGGAAGAGAGGCAGCATGGATGTGGGTGAACTGATAAGAAAGAAGGCAACTGCAGTGGTCCAGGCAGGATATTTTGGAAGCTTGGACCATGGTGCTGGCACTGGGTATGGAGAGAAGTGAATGGACTGAGGCCATGGATATTTAGGAAGGAGTATTGGCAGGACTTGATGATGTGTTAGCTCTGGCAAGTGAGACAGAAGGAGCTGTCAAGGATGGCCTTGTGGATTCTAGTCACATATTTTGGTGGAAGGTTGTCCTGTTCACTCAGACAGGGAACACTGGGAAAGGACATGTGTGGCAGAGGGAGAGAATTATGAATCTGCTGTGGACTTAAGTCCAAGAGGAGGCAGGTAGGCAGTTGGATGTAGAACTCAGAGGGGTCTGGGCTAGAGATCTAAATGCAGGAGCTTATTGATGCCTGAGTCCAG